CGATGAAGGAGTCCGTTTCTCTCAATGCAGCAAATTCATGAACATAGAATGACTCTTATCTTAGAGAAATATATAGATATACCCTCTTACTTCAAGAAGATCTTGATTTTTAGACTTTCAGTCTTAATATTGATTCACAAATAATTTTCACTATCGAAGTGCGTTTAGGAGGATTTCGCCCAGCGATTGAGGATGATCTTGACATATCAAAACGCTCGCTGGTGATTGTCTTCTCTTTGGCCACTTCAATGCAGAAAGACTTCGCAGGTTTTCGAGCAAACTTGGCCTCTATGGTCAACGGAATGGAAGGCTCTGGCATGGACATCACCAGTTTCATATTCTGGGGATTTGTATTCACAGGTAATCCGTAAATCCACCTAACATTTTGCAGCATACTACCATCCCATAGCGGTCTTGCCAAATTCTCTGCGATCTTCCTCTTCTCCCGTCATCATTATGGTTTGCCTCGTTTAAGAGAAATCACGAAATAGCTCGAATAGATTATATTGTGCAGTTTACTTGCAAGCTTCATTATGTTGTAAAAAAGGTTATATGAGGAAAATTATTCTCTTTTGAAAATACATCCGATTGGGTAAAAGTCGTTTCAGCCTCCTTTCACTCTGGGAGAGGGGGCAGGCTGACCCTTTACCTGGGCCAGTTGGAAATATAGTGATTCGTTTGAGAAGATAGAATTCTTGTACACCTAAGGTCGTCCTTCTTGTATACAAGGGCAGACTGCGATGAGATATAATTAATACTTTTCTAAGTGTCTGCATTGTTAGTGTAGTTATAAAATCAAATCTCATAAAGAAGGTCTTTTACGGAAAGTTTATGATAAAGAATGATTGGGGGAGACGGCCCGAACCGCTCGCCAGAGGAGGCTAATTAAGCTGCGCCTCTGATTGGTTGGGCCGCTAACGAGGCAAGAGGTTCAATGCGGTCATTTCACTGAAAAACCCAAGTTCAAATAAAATTAGACGAATGGAATTTTTGGGTTCTACCTCTGCGCAGGGTTCATGTGACAAAAGTTATGACTACCTGCATATACAAGCTGGAACATACCCACAATTATGTGGTGATAATCTGAATGATTTTAGAACAGGTAAATTTACTTTTAGACTTTTACTCAGAATCAGAAAATAGGTATAAAAAACAGAATTAGGAAATTAGATAGTTGAATAAATAGTTCAGTAGTTGAATACAATAGTCTTAGATCAGTAGTTAAATCATTGTTCAGTAGATGAAAAATCTATGTGACTCCCTTCATCTTGGCAGCTGCGTGCTTTCTTATCGCATGTATGGTGAATGGCTCAAAATTTTCCATAGAGTTTTGATGGTTACTCGAAAATCCATATTTTATAATTTGTATTTTAGCTGGAAGGAAATGCTGCAAGATACTCGAAAAGTCGGCGAAAATCGTTAGAAAATCCTGTTTATAATTAAGGATTTTTAGACTCCTCTTGTAGGCTGGATTTTCAGGAAAGAGCTTCTTCTTAAGCTAATTTCAGGAAAAGTACCATTTGCTGCAGTCATAATGCCACAGTGAGTGTTGAAGTTTACTCCAAGTAGTACTGCAATGTAGGTTATCGCCAAACCTTTGACCCGCGCGAAATAATAAAATCTTCTGTTTTGGGTGCGGGTGCATAAGGCGCAAGTTTTTAAAAAAAAAGAATTTTACAAAAGTTAAAGACGAGTGGGGGAATTTGCTGTTTCCAGCAAAAAAGATTTTGTTAAAGATTGAGAGACCCAAAGTTGTTACAGTCATCGTAACGTGATAATATCTGCTGAATGCAGAGAATCTATCGTTTCAAGTGGAGTTTTACCAAACCGTTTCTCCATTGCAACAATGAATTTAGGCGTTCCTTCTTTCCCACCAGTGGCTAATTGTCTTAACTTTGATCCCTTGAGCTTGCTTCAATTGGGCCATTCATTACAACTTTTTTCAAGGCAACTCACAAGTCTTGCATCAAATTGCACATCATCACCTTTGTATTTCTGGATGATATACTTCAAAATGTTTGTTTGCATTTCTTTATGATCCTTCAGCTCTAGCAGCTCGAATAATGTCACCATAGATAGGAAGTGTGGCTACCTTGGCCTTCTATAGGCTTGGTGCCATAGCTTTTGCATGTGCACCAGGAGCAGAAGCAGCAGGAAATGATTTCTTTTCATTAATTACTTTCAGCCATACGCACATTCTCTCTTTTTTGTTAAATAAGCTAGTCTTTCTATGCAACAATAATCAGTCGCAAAGCAGATGTAGAACTTTATACTTTACACTAACTAAATATGCAAAACTATTTTTGTAAAAGATTTCAGATTCCAACGTGTTGACCTACTATATCGGTTATGGACATCAACTGTCGGATTTGGATAACATTTTTGACGTGTTGGTGTTTTCCACTTCTTCGCCGAATCAACCTTTTCTTTCACAAATCATACAGGCTCAGCAATTGTATGTTTTTTCTTTACTACTCCCACAATTTAAATTTTCTAGTCTTTCTGATCAATTTGTCGGATGGAAGTAATATGCCTTTCTTAAAGTTACGGAGACACTCGCGCTTTCTCGAACGTTCTCGTCTTTACGGACTCTGGTGCGTCTGATGCTGGTCCTCCAAGCGATCTCTTCTCTGCGAATACAAATGAACAGATTTTGATATCGCTTGTGAACACATGGCATAATAAGGCAAGCAGGTTCTTCAAGCTTTTAGATATAGCCGTAAATAGTCGCACATAGCGTGCTTTGTGTTTGAAACTTCTCATTCTCACGTTAACGA